TAATTAAATCAGTACATCTTCAAGGCTCTTTTACTACTTCATCATCTAGTTTCTAATGTAGGTAATGACAGAATGGAAAAACCACAAGATGCTGATGAAAGACTTACCACTTAAAGAGCATTTCTCTGCAGTGACTGAAAAAGTACTAGCTGATGACACTATTTTAAAAGGTGCCAACAGTAGCGGACAGATCGGCTAAAACATGTATAGCACAAATGAGTAAATTTTAAGAGGATAAACAAATAAGTGCATTGTTCAGACTGGTGCAAAATAACAAATTTTAAATTTTCACCTAATAATTAATAATTATCCTGTAGTTGTCAGAAAAAAAAAAAAAACAACAACACAGAGAACAATCATGGTTGTCAGCATCAAGACAAAAGTTTGTGTGGTAATGCATGTTTTGCTTCCTGCCAAGGCTTGCCAGAGCAACCATTCTTCTCTGAAAGATGCAGGACAAGTGGTACAACCTGTCAGCAGTATTCTGCACTACTCTGGCTTAGAAGAACAGTATAACACGATCCATTTCCAGCAGTAAAGGAGGAGCATCAGATGTGAACTTCTGGAGGACCCCTCTCACAACATGACACCAAATCTTTGCTTCAGGCTGGCATATTTTCCCACAAATACGCACACAACTCTGTTGCAAACACTACCTAAACAGCCATTTTGTGTCTCGTTTTAAAAAGGTAGTGACCTAGATGGACATTCTACGAACATATCTGACATTTTTAAGGCCTGTAGAGCCACACCATAATACATGTCCACACTGTTTCTCTATGTCCTTCCAGTATTTATTTAGGTATGACATTTGATTCTGCTCCATGCAATAAGCGACACCCTGGCAGAACCATTTCTTTGGGAGCAGGGCAACAATGTCTGCAGAACTGTTTCTCTAGAAACACTTTCTACACTTTCCCTAAATGATAGGCCGTATTTCACCAGCCACTGCAGTAAGGCCATAGTGTTCCCAGACATCAGTCTATCCACCTCCCACCTTATCCAGTGGGTAGCTTATGCTAGTACCCACCTTCACTACTAGACACTTTATAGTACTCCAAATGCTCCCTATTGAAACCAGTTTCATGATCTGTATTGAGGGGGAAAAAAAAAAAAAAACCCAGAAAAAAATTTATCATAAACCAGGAAAGAGTCCTAAGTGTAACCAAAAAAGCATCACAAACATCAGTGTATAATACTTTAAATTCATGTATGACTACCTTATTTTTGTGTTATTTAACTATAATATAAAGGATAAATAATTGACTTTTAATATTTAGAAGTCATTAAAACAGCTCTGCACTAGATATGATCCCCATTCATTAGTCAGCTAAGATGAATGAAAGAAATGTTATCACTTTTTTCGTGAAACACAAACAAGGTATTCATCAAAGTCATTATGATGACACTGAAATCACAAATACATAGCAAAAGGCCTGATCCTGCCATCAGACTTATATAGGTGGAAGTTTGACTTCTGGTCATTCCTATTAGTGGAAACATCTTAGACAGTTATAGTTGAATATTTGGAAAAATAATTAAGGGAATACAGAGTTGACCTCAAATTAGCAGCAAAATTCCCACTATTATCCCTAATGTCAGGTTTTAACCCATATAAGTGGATTTGAATGCACTGAGATAACAGCTCCACAAATATTGATATCCTTATGAAGTGGAAAGAAAGATTTTGAACTTTCTCTGCTAAGTTTGCCTGTGCACAGAGGTCTTCTATAATATAAATTTAAATACGCAATCTGTTTTATAATGTTTTCCATCATCTCTCTTCTCCATATGTTCTCCCACTAGGAATCTAATGAGTTCTACATATGAGGGATGACAAGGGAATATGCCTGAGAAATAATTCCAGCAATTATGGCATATGGAGGCATTGTTTTTTGAGTCATTTTTACCATGAACATTAGGCAGAGCATCTGGGACCAAATTCTGTCTACCTGCCTATGGACATTAGTAAAATCATCATCTCACATTTGTAAATTCTGCTGAAGTAATCTGCCATACAGAGAGGACCATTTCATCAGCTTTATGATCAGAGAGCATATTGAAACACAGTCCATTTATAGTTAGGAAAAAATGCTTCTCTTTAGAAAGAGTAGTTTAAACTGGAAACTATTTTAAGATAAAATCATAGAAACACATCTCCCTCTCTTCTCTCCAAGAACTGCTAAGAGCCTGTGTTCAGTTCCAAGCCACTATGTATTAAAAATCTTTTCTCATCACTACTAAAGTTTTGTAAGAACTGTCTGGATCCCAGCAAAAGAGAAAATGACCAAAGAAAAGTAGAAAGAACAACAACAAAAAAGAGGCAGAAACTCTAAATCAGTAATAGGAAAGGTTATATTCTCCACGCCCAAATAGGACAAGGCATCCATAATTAATTATAAAGAGAGAAACAGACTAAAAAAATTCCTTTATGTGAGGACACAGCAACTAAAATAAGTAGCATATATTTTCTAAGTTCTGGATATTAGTTTTAAATACTAAGACACAAGGCTGGAGAATTCAAGTACAGTTTCTGTCATGTTTGTTATGACAGTAAGAAGAAAAGAGCTCAAGAGATTCAACCCATAGGCTGATACAGGGTAAATTTTTAACTTCACATATTCCTCATACTCAAGAAAAATTTCTCAGCAATGTGAGTAACATAAGTATTTTTATACGCTTTTTTCCCAGCTGTGCAGTTGAAGCAGTGAAAGCAAAGCCATAAATCCCAAACTACTGTGTCGCTAGGTTACTTCAGTGTTTTAGGGAGGGAAACAAGAATGTCCCTGCTGTTATAGATGATCTAAACCTAGTTTTACAGATATGAATGTAAACATAATTTAAAGAGCTAATACAGAACTTTTACAGTTAGGGTTACATATAAGCAATAATATTTCTATTATACAAACTATTTATTTAATTCAGTTGGGTAATAAATTGGTTTTCAGAACTGAAAGCCAGATATATTTCAAGTCTTTCTATCATTTTTGATTGAAAAATAATATTGATGGAATTAGTGATATCTAATCAAGAGAATCTACTACCAAGGAAAAATTGGATATCACTTCCCATTGCCACACAGAATTACCTGTATACTAGCAAGGAGGGAGTGAAAATAAAGCTCAGCTTCAGGATGCTGACTGTACCCCAGTGCTCACATGCTGGATTCACTTCCCTAGAACCTACATCTCTGGCTGTGAAACCACACTACAATGGTTTTGACTTGTCTGGTATCCCACTCACAGTAGTCTGAGAAAGAACTGTCATTCCCTTATACAAGAGTTTCCCATGTCACCATTAGTGGCCCTTCTTCCAGATGGTCTTACATTACTTTTAGATTAAGAGACATTGACAACACTTATAATCCTGTAAATGTGTCAAAAAAAAGTTGTGGGAAATGCAGCCTTTTCATATACTACCTGTTCTAATTACCACATAAGCAGTACAGATGAATACAGAAGATACAAAAACAACTAAAATATGTGCAGTGACTCTCTGTAAAGTGATATCAGAAAGTTACATAATCTCTTCCAGAAACAAGATCAAAAATGTCATCTGGAAATATTTTCTCAGTCTATGAAAGAATAAACAGAAAAGTTTATTAGGTTACAAACTGCACTATAAAGACAAAGTGATTAGGTAATTCTTCTTAATTTAATACCACTGAATCCTTGAAAAATCATTTAATGCCATGGGATTGTTCAGGTGTGACATTTTTTGACACAGACTTATCTAACTATTGGCAAAAAGAAACTAGAGATTAAGGCAATACTTCTTGTACAAACCAAAACTATACTCCCTTTCCAATATCCTTGCCAATATCTTGGTTAACCACCGATGTGTAAAATTCGAGGCGTGTAGGAGGAGGCAGTAAATCAACAGATAAGGATGCCAATCACATATTTCTGTTTTGTTTTTATAGACTTTCCTGGAAAAGTATAAAAACCAGCTGTACAATTATAATGAGCAAAAATTGCCTGCATATATTTTTATGAAACATAACAAAATAAAATTCTTTATAGCAGATTTTTAATTTCAAAACAAATGTATCTGATGCACTCTGTGTTGCAGTGTTGTTTTAAAGGTTAGCATTCACTTATGACCAATAAACTAGATATCACCAAGATCTAGACTTGAATGGTTTTTAAGCTTTATGTTAGATTTATTAGATCTGAATTGGAATTTTTTTTCATTAAAATTCATATCAGGATTTCCTTTATGTTTTGTTGAACTGATCCAAGACATTCAGTGAGAGAGCAGTGATTTTTCTTTCTCTCTCAATGCACTGCCACTTAGAACTGCGGAACAGGAATGCATATTCTGCAGTTCAGAGTTCCTGATGATTACTGAATTCAAAGGGTAACATGGATTTCCCTCTGCTCATAATGACTGATCATTTTTGTAAATAGATGAAATAATCTAGAAATTAGTATATAAGGAATAAACGAGTAATTAAAGCAAGAATCATCCTCACGTGCCTACAATATGAATGCCTGTGGCTGATCCAGTCCCCTGTTCTCCATTTTCAAAGGCAGCACTAAACCAGCACTGTGGACAGCTGAACTGTGGTTCCCAGCTTGCTTCAAGGTGCACAGAGTTCACTGTCAAATTGGATTTTTTTCCCTTTCTTTTAAACAGTTCAACAAATTAACCTGAAATATTACTTTTTCAGGGATGTCTAGCATCCATGTCCTGTTGCTTTTTAAAATGTCTAAATGATAATTTTTCAGGATTCACATTTTGTGAAGAAAAAAAACATTTTTATTCTGTCTGGTCTGAAGACAACAGGCCAGTACACCCACCAGAATTTGCCATAACAAGGCTAGAACAGTTGTGCTAGATATCAGTTTCCTTTCAAAAAGGACCTTTTAATGTGGTAGGAGATATTCCCTGCTCTACTGAAGAAATATAACGCTTGGGATGCTTATTCAAGAAAAAATCATTTTGTTCCATGGATAAACAGAATAGATCTCCAATGTGCACATCCATACAGGGAACTCTATTTTATATTACAATTTTATTCACTTGCTATGAATAGTCACAACATTAATTACTGCAGATAATCTATTCAATATATTTGAAAATCCATTTATTTTTATTTATTGATATGCATGTGTTACACTTCTATATAATACAGTACTTTCAGTATTGGTTTAAGAACAAGGAAACAAAGAAAACATTTAGTTAGAAGCATGATATAGATTTTTGGCCAAAGAGAGGCCATATTCATAGTCTACAAAACAGCACATTTATATTTTGCACTGTCCCAGACGATCTCTTTAAGATGCTACCTTCTGTCCTGAACTTGTTAGCACAAATCCATACAATACTAATCCATCCTAAAATACTGAGATACCTAGTAGCTGCTACAGTTTATTCTAATTAAATTTTAATCAGAAAATAAGATCTTTTCCTGCCAACAATTTTTTATTACTTCTCAGCAGAATGATAGAATATACTTCTCAATTTTATTCCCAACAGTCATTTATTTTATTTAAGCTCTCCTGTGCAATAATACAACAGAGGTAATGAAATGGTTTTGGAACAACAGGGGCTACTGTGACAGGCAGAGCACTCCAGGGTGTTCATCTATCATGGAACCTAACATATAACTAAACTAGCCATGTCAATGGCTTGTAATGATAAAATATTTTCCCTCATCTGTCTTGTTTTGGGTTTTTTGTCTTTTGGGGGTTTTTTTGCTTGTTTGGTTTGTGGTTTGTTTTTGGTTTTTTTTGTGAATATGGTAACCACACATAAGCTTACTCCTACGTACTTTTTACTACCACTGTGTGTGTGGCTTTCATGTCAATTCACCAAAGCATAAAGTCAGAATTCCCTTACCCTCTCTGGTCAGCTTCTTTATGCAGTGTTTCTAAAAGGAACTGCCAAATTTCTGTTGTATCAACATTACAGATGGTACAATATATATTAAATGGAGTATAAAATTATACATTCTGTAATAACTTAGAAAAAAGCTCAGAGATGTTTAAGGCCTTTAAATATTGAGGATTTTTTTCATGTAACAGCACATCACAAAGTTCAAAAAAATTGCTGCCAAAAAAAAAGAAAAAAGAAATTTTGGAAAGGATCAGATCTGAATGGGATGACTGTAAGCAAGCAAAATACCCATGAAGTGTAAATCTGGGTGGGCACTAGGACTTTTTTCCTTTATAGCAAACAGACTGAGCAGACATCTACGTAAGCATCCATCAGTACTTAGGTTCAAGCAAGAGATTTTATTTTTTAATAAAAAGACAAAAATTCTGAGTGATTACCATCCAATTTCATAATTGCAAAACTCATTTACATCCCTGCCTACCCTGACAAAAAAAAAGATGAAATACCGTCATTGACTGCTTACCATGAACTTAAATCAATTAAAGGTTAGGAAAGTAAAGTACACATTGGGAACACCCATCTCCTTCAAACTAAATGGAAATGTATATCTTAGAGGTACAAAATGCTTTATAATGGAGGTGGTAATTGAGTTTTGACCACTACTTTTTTAACTGTTAAGTTGCAGTGGCTGATTAGCCTTAGGCAAACACGTCAGCCTGACTATACAATCTAATATGACTGGTGTATTCAGATAACTATTACTTGTCAACAATAATTATTAACAATGGATATATAATTCCATTCCTATAACAAAAGCAACTTCAAGATGTTGAAATATGTATCTTTCAGAGCTGCAAGATTTGAACACAAATAAAAATGTCTAAAACTGTGCCATGCCAGAGGACCATTTCTGCAACAGAAATTTAATTAAAGCAATGTGCAGTACCACCAGCAATCTGAAAGTGGACCAGGGATCATTTTAGAGGGAAGGATCCAATACATTTTGGAGGTTGACTTCATCAAGATGAAAAGCCACTGGTCTGCAATGGAGAATCCAACAGTTTGCTGCTTTTCTGCACCTTTAGAGTATCAACACATGATTACAGCTGCAAATTCCTCAGCAAGTGCAATTTTACAAGTGTACACAGTTCAATCAGTTGAAATCTTTGTGACACAGAAGTTCAAAATGACTTTCCAGTAGTTTTAATCTCAAGGCTGTTGCTGATTACAAGACAGATTCTCATTGAAACAATTGATTCTGAAGGATACACTCCAGCAGTATAAAATTTCACTTCAAGGATTGCCTGGAGGAATGAAATTCCCACATGTTGTATTTAATTTTATCAGCCTTGATAGTGACTTGATTTGTCTTTAGCTATCAGGTTACCTGTAAAGAAAAAAGAAAATCAGAAAATCAAAACTGGACATAGTGAATCTACTTCTGAAGTACTGGAAAATGAGACTTAAATGTAAGATCTCTGTCCAGCAAAGCACTTTCAATTGTTTTTAAAATAGGTGAATAATCACAAATGGTATTAGATGGCATTGCTCCCCAACTTAAATTGTGTGTTTAAGTGTTCTGTCAGAATTGGATCTGACAAGGAGAAATCAAAATGTGACCACGCCCAAAAATAAAATAAAAAAATTTAAAGTTCACAAATTACCAACCCACAAATTTTTGTTTTCTGTTATTCTTTTTTTTTATTGTTAAAACTTCTATATAGTAACAACTATGCTTTTAAAAATGTTAGCTATTGCATATAACAGTGGCTGATACTGGAGATGTATTCTTCCATGCTTCTGCATGCTTCTTTACAGGACAATCATAGAATCATTTATGTTCTAAAAGGCAATGTCCTGTTAAAGGCTAAATGCATCTCAGCAAATAAATACTTAGGGGAGAAATACTCAGTGGAGAAACAGGACAAAAATCATTCATACATTAACGAGAGAGAGAGAGATTCTGATATTCACAAGGTACAAAATTACCAAGGATTTAATTTATAGTGGTTTCACTCAGCCTAACATGAAACAAGAGTGAAACAGAAGGACCACAGAGAAAGAGTGGGAGACAAAGCATTTCACAGTAATTGGATTTTCCCTCTGTCTGATTTGGATTTTAAACACTAAAAGAAAAAAACAACTGTCATATCCAAGAAATGTAACTTTGAGGAATATTTCTGCTGTGTCAGTGGATACAATTAATCACCATGTAACATTTTAATATCAAATTGTGTCATGTGTCAACTCCCCAACTCTTGAGGAACAACTCATTGGAATGGTCACAACAACACTTTATGACGTCGAGGGGCATATGCTTCTTATTTTGATCACAGAGAGAAGGGTCATGCTCCTTAATGATGAAACATTCTTTTGCCCTCAGCAAAACTGTTTGCATACAGCTCTTGTCAGCTCTGCAGAGCAAAAATATAGAACAGAATACTAAAAAGACTGTTTGAGGAGTTCATTGCTTCAGTTTGCCTTCTCCACCAAGTTGTTTCTAGGAAGTGCACTTAAGGCAATAATAAAATCGTGCTTTCTGATTTTTATGATACATGGGCTTATTTATTACACTGCTTTTATTTTGCTTTGTTCTTGTTGTTGGAAACAGCCTCATGTGTCCCCTTCTACAGTGGAAGATTGCCAAAAAAAAATGAATTAATTTAAAAGTCAGGCTACATATTTCAGTGTCCTGCACCAAAGCTCAAAAGGCTGATGCAGCATCTTATTGTTATTTATGTTTTGCATTATTGTAACAAGCTGGAATTTTACTCATGGAATCAGGTGCCACTGAGATACATAATGTAAAATACACATCTTCTGATCTTATCCGCAGGTGATTTTCATTAGCTTCACTTGCAATACATGTCTATCTCTATCTATCTATCTATCTATCTATCTATCTATCTATCTATCTATCTATCTATCTATCTATCTATCCAGTAAAGAGGCACTAAGGCAAATAAGGCACAGGAGCTTCTTCATATGAGGAAAGGCTGAGAGCACTGGCACTGTTCAGCCAGGAGAAGAGGAGGCTCAGGGGGGATCTCATCAATGTGTACAAACACAAGAAAGGAGGGTGCTAAGAAAATGGAGCCACACTGTTTTCAAGTGGTGCCTTGTGGTGGGAGAAAGGGCAATGAGAACAAACCAAAACACGGGAGATTCACTCTCAGGAAAAACTTTTTTACTGTGAGCGTTACTGAGTACTAGCACAGGTTGCCCAGGGAGGTTCTCCATCCTTGAAGACATTCAAAAGCTGTCTGGTCCTGGGCAGCTGGCTCTAGGTGGCTCTACTTGAGCAAGGGGATTGGACTTCCAGAGTTCCCTTCCAAACTCATTATCCTGTGATGTACTTTTTCTATTACATCCAGCTCTGCCAGTGCATTGGCTAAGGTGATAAACTGCAGCTAGCAAAAAGAGTATTTTTACACATACATGACTGCTCAGTTACAGGGCTTCTTGGAGGTGCAAATGTGTTCTCTTCAGTCACAAAGAAACTCCATAAAATCATAATCTCCAGATCTATTTGCTCCCCCATCTAGCTCTACAGCCCTGTGGTGAAAATATCACTATAAAAGCAATATACACTGTCACATAGATTAAATAGGTGATATAAATAAGAAAAAATCTGATAGCCATTCAAATCTCTGCATTATAACAGGTGGCTAATCATATACAAAGGTCATTTTGCTTATACAGACTGTACAGGAAGTCAAGCTGCGCTGCATGTTCTTAGTTTTTACATTACGTGATTGGAGTTTTTAACCGCTTTCCCTTGACAGAATTTTTTTTTTTTTTTGTTCTGTTAACCACCAGGTCACACAATGCTACTCCAAGTAACACATACAGTGGTCCACATTTGCCTCTAAGTGAGATGGTAATGCTTGTTATGTGCAAGCACAGATTACACATTAACATTAATGGAAGTTATATATCCGTACACCATACACGTTAGGGAGTGAATAAACCTCTTGGTTGGTAAAGGCACTTTCATAAAGAAGCAATAAAATTTTAGCTAATACCTAGTGATGGTATTCCCAGAAATGCTTAATTTTGGATATAGTAAAAGCTATTTGGTTTAAGTGTCTGGGAAGTAAGGTAGTAAGGTACTGTGCCAAAGGCCTTTATAGAAAAGGGGGACCAATAACAGTATGTGTCTGATCTTTAAAATCCTAAGAAAACAGTAACACCCTGAATAGGTGCAAATCAAGTCTATTCAAGTTTTCAGTTAATAATTATTATATATGGCGAATTAACAATACAAATGAAAAAAGTACATGAAACCTAGGTGTTGATCTGAATTAATTTGTTCATTTTTGGAACATAATTACTCCATTTATGCTAATAAAATTTTTCACATAGTTGTTATATCATAAATACACTGCATTAGACTCTCTTCACTTTCTTGTCCTAAACGTGTAATTAAAGTATAATTACTCTGCAGTTGCAGACTTTTTAATTTAAATTAGTAAGTGGCTGCTGTAAATTGGCTGTAATTGTATGTGAACTCACTTTTTTATTTTAACTCAACAATATATATGCATATAAATGCAGTTGTTCAGAACAAACTCAGTCTTTGGGTAGAATATTTTTGCCAGGGTAACCCAGAATGGAGTGGAGATGAAGGAGATGAAAAGACCTCAAGGCATCACATTAGAAAAGCTACCAGCTCAAGAAATTTTTTTGGACAGCTTACATTCCAATGCTGCTCACAATGGGTGAAAAATGTCCTCACTTGTGAAATCCGCACAGTGGATGAATACATGAGACAATACTGTCTATTTCATAAGAATAGATTCCCAATAAAAATCCAGACAAGTCTTTTACTCAAGACTTCCTTCCTCCTAAGAAGAGGAAGGGAGATAAAATAAAGACTATAGGATGTAAAGAATGGCTGAGTATATATTCCCTGAATAGTAAATCTTTTCCCTACTTTGATGCACCAAAGCATCAAAGTTATGGAATCACAATTAGGTATAGTACAAATCTTCTGTTTCTTCAGAGAAAGAAATATATCACTAATAGTTTGCTAACTACAGAAAAGTTTATACATGCAAATGAAGCACATAATTATTATTTAATAGTGTTAGGAGAAAATAGATACTAATATATGGTATATTGAAATTAAGTGTGTGCTATAACATTTCATAACACAACTTTGTACATTACAACTTTTTGACTGGCAGCTCTTTGAATTTTTTCTATGTTTATTGTAAACCATACATAAAATCCACATCGAAAACTGGCTCTTGAGTTTGCAAAGTCAAGCAATTGAACGTTAGCAAATTGCCTTTTTATGTGTGCCCTTGCAACTGCAATTCTATCTCTTTTCCATCATGCACAGTAAAGAGAATTTAGTGGGTGAGAAGATTTGGAGGGAAGTCTATAACAATGTCGTCAGGACTATGTATCAATGAAAATGCAGAAAGGGGCAAATTTTTAAGCCAACGTTTCATCACTCCATAGATGGGAAGAATGATGGACTCTCTGTTAAAGGTTTTCTCCAAAGAAACAGAAAGAACTTAATACTTAGAGGTTTTCTTTCTGACTAGAACTGTTCCATCAACCATACAGGATTGTGTGTGTTCATAGCCTGTGTCATCTGAGCATACTCAAGCTATCTTTTTCTCTTTTTTTCTTTCCTGAGGCACATAAAACAGAGAAAGGAAATTATTTTTTGTAAAAGCAATTAATAGCTCACCCTGAGCTAAGTAGAATTTCATGAGACAAAGAAAAGCCATTTTGGCACCCCTAGCATTCTTCCCTAAAATATTAAAGACCTGTGGGAAACAAAAATGGTATGGAGATTTCAACCAAAATTAAAAACAGTCTCACAAATTTATTTAATGAACAACATGAGATAAGCTAAGTACAGGGAATACCACATGAATCCCTTAAGTAAGGGCTTAAGGAAAGAGGCCTAAGGAACGGTTTGAAGAAATGCCTAGCTGTGGATTGTCCTCCAAGTCATAGAGATAAGACAGGGATCCCATACCAAAACAGCCTTATTTGTATGCAGTACATTTCCATCCATTTTGTGTCCTTATTGCTGTATTTTTTCTTGTAATGTATGTAAAAGACCACAAAAAATTAATATAATGTTCAACAAAGTGATTCTTTAGCAAATGGAATGAACTTGAGAGAGCTATATCAGTCATATTTTTTCATAACATCAATAACTTTGTTTTGGTAGTGAAAACTTAATACAAATATTACCATGAAGAAACAGAAGGGCCCATATAACCAGAAACAAACATCTGCCAATCCTTTCTTTCCCCTTATGCCCTCTGAAAATGAGGTTGACGTTGGAAATGAATCTTTTGAACAGATGGAAGTACACTATTTCCTGGAATTTCAAAATTCATATAGTGTTTTTGCCATGCACTATCATTCACACGTGGCTTATGAAAACAAATGACAGAGTGCATTGCCACTTGTGCATTTACATCAATGAAACCGTGTAACTTACAATCTTGGAAAATGCTTCTGTTCTAACACTACTATCTTGTACCGGTGATATTCAAAACTACTTTGCAAATGTTAACAAAGACAGGTTCACAATTTTCTGACAGCTGGAGAATCATGTAATTTATTTTCTAATGGACTGGGGAAACTGGACAAAAAGGTGTTAAGGACTTTTCTGCAATAGGGCGCCTATATGCATATGCACTTAACAGTAGGTAGGTGTAGATCTGGGTGTTCATGCTAGATAACTAAGCTTCTGGAGGAACGAGGAACCATTTCAAAAGACTGAGAAATATTAAGGTGACCCAAGCCCATTTCAAGGGACCTCCATGAATTAGGAAACAGGTTTTCCTGTTTCCTTACTTGTTTCAGTATTACAGATGGCTATTTGACTTGGTCTCGGGAAAAAAGGCAAAATTTGAGTGATTTGTGAGCAGTCTAGAAAACAGATATTTAATGATAACTATATGGATTCAATTACCTTTAGTGAAAGTTACATATTGGAAGACACTTTTTCAAGTCACAAAATATTTCATTCCTGTTTACCTAACTTTTTATGTCAAGACTCAAGAGCTTTAAACTGTTCGCTTAGCTTAACTTTAGGCACTGTAGTATGTAAAGTATTAGTCTAAACATGTTCCCAAGTCTGTAATGGAGCAATTTAGAATATCAGATTCTCAGGCCTGTCCTTCAGCAAACAAGATTAGCTCATTTCATTAATTAAACAGAACATCACCCAGTACACTTCAATGGCTCAAAAGTTTCATGTCTTTGATAACCATAGACTTCACAACTTTTTAATTCTTTCATACTTTTACTGCATTGTGATTAATCAGAACTATATTCATGACAATTCTTGTGCTTAGGACCTTCCATTATAAAGAGAGAAACATTTTGAAAACTCATTTCATACAATGTCCTTTGAAATATAACTTTGTACTCCTTATTTTCTCATTGCTCCTAATGATTTCAGCAGGAGATTTTTAGTGGTAAAGTGAAGATCTAGACAATCAGTGTTAAAAATTGTAATTGAAACTAAAAGGCTTTGGAAACCTTTCACATGTAAATTGAGCTTTCCACTTGCTTCAACTAATCTGAGAGGTTGGATTAGAAAAATAGATAAAGCAAAAATACTTTAGAGCATGGCATATGTTCCTGTAAATGACAGGGTTCTTCATCTTTAGCATGGTTTTAAGACTAAACAGACAACATCTAGTACATTTTAGGAATACAGTGAAAATAGCTCTTTCTTTGCTTTTTCTGCAATTAAGTAATCCAGTATAGAATACTGAGCTTTCAACTACAAAGGCAACACCAGACTGAATGTATCGAGATGGCCTTTCTCTCTAAGTGCTGTTCTCCAGAGCATCTGTTGTTTTCCCATGAGAGTGACTAACGTGAGTGACTGGGTCTACCTTTGAAAGTACTGAGGGAAGAAAGATATCTTAAGGCACCGAGAAGCATCTAACTGATACACTGAGGCTACTTAGGAGCACAGTGCAGAGTCTCTCCAACCACCCTCCTGAAGCTGTGCCTGAATAAGCCACAGTTTCTCAGTGTCTGCAGCAAACTGCACAACTACAATGAGGAGTAAGATACAACAATTCTTGTCAATAATGTGTAAACCTGTATTTGTACACACCTGCTGCTCTGTGAGTAATAAACGAGGGCTGGAACACATTTTCTGGAGTGGTGTGACTCTTTATTCCTCAACGAACGTTCTGGCCCTTCCTTAGAATCCGACCAAGACTAGGATTCATCACAACTAGTGCTCCAACGTGGAGCCAGAATATTTTTTGTGTGGAAAAAACAAATATTGTCATCAGGCACAGCAGAAACCTCCTTTCTCTACTTCTCCATTCGGCCTTGAGGAGTTTTACACGTTTGCCTAAGAAACAAACACATGTCAACTACTACACTGTTATGAAATTAGTTACAGAAAACAAAACTGGGATAAATAGAATTTTTTTTAAATTACAAGGAAAAGTACAAAATAACAGGAAGAAACAAATTTCAGAATCAGAGCAAATTCTCTTACGAAAAGTGCATGGTTTTAAAAATACCCAAGCATATTCAAATTCAAACTCTTATTTGTCACCAAAAAGCAATAGAAACTGATATATTAGACTCATGTTTGAAAGTATATCAGCAATATTTAAGTATGACAAAACAGTAATTGAAAAGTTCTTCGAGAATAAGTCCATGGATAGACCTGTGATACAGAAAAGAGTCATGAACTCAGAATACAATTCCTTTAAAATGAAAGATATGAGTGTGTTGTTATCATAAATGTTTAAAATAAAAACAAACAGAACCAAAACAAACAGGAAAAAAAACCAAGCAAAAAAAAAACCCTAAAAGTTTAAAGTCTGAACTGAGGAGAATTTTACTAGAGACATTTCTATAGTTAGAAGGTTACAGGAAACACCATAAAATAACAGATGACACATTTCAAAAGACAATATTCAATTCAGACAGATACTCCCTTATCCAGATAATTGAGGTAGATTTTGGACCTGCTGATAATGATTGCTTCTGAAAAAGGTTGCACAGCACCTCAAAAGATCACCAAAATTTCTTTAAGTTTCTTCTTTTTTTTTCTTTAGGGTTTTTAACTTAAATATCATGCTGCAGAATCATTAGAAATATACATTACAAGATTAAACTCATAACTTTAATAACTTCTTGCTTAAATAAAATCTCTACACATTTAAATGCTATGAAACAAATATGGTTCTGTATTTATATTTCCTTGAACTGGATAGTTTACAGAATAAAATTAATTGGTACAGCTAACTGGGAGAATTGTAATAGTGAATAGCTGATGAAGACATATGAGTTATGTCAAGGCTAAATCCAATTCATTAGTCTTTCCAATGCACTTCATTATTATTGTTTTCCAAAAGGTTATGTCACTACAATGCACATACCTTAACTTTCTCAATGTTTCTGTAACTCAGCAAAGAAATTAGCTTTATGGTAGAATTGTTTTAATTTAACAAAATATTTTCTTTGCAGACAAGAATTTTATATTAAAAGAAGACAAACATAAACCTTATTTTACTTTCTGTAACAGATAATAACTGTAGCAAGGATATATCCTCTTGAGGTTTTTGCAGTGATCGCAACTCCGTAGAGGGACTGCAGCATGATGGCATAAAAGACTGCAAGACAATTAATTAAATAAATGAAATTTACTTCTCTTCTATAGCACTTATTCCACCTAATCATCCCAAGTGGAAGATAAAACAACCTCCTTCCTTTCTCCATATGAGGAAACTGAAGCATAATAAAAAGTCATGCTATACTTTTGACTGTAAGAAAGTAAAAGGAGATGGAGGGATGGGAATAGAGTCTGTCTGGTTTTGGCTTTATCTGACTTCACTTACCTAAAAATAAGCCTACACTTGTTTTGGTTTGGAAAGGAAAACTTATAACAAGCTGTGTTTATATTCTAAATATGAAAAAGCAAAACAAATTAAAAAGAAAAACAAAACCAGCTTTGTTTTAAAACTAGACTGAGGTTTTGAATTGTCTTACAGTATAAAGGATTTTCATATTTTAATACATTTTTCCATAAATTGGGTAAGATTGAACTTCACATTATCCCCACTAAAAAAATCAGGCAGTCTAAATTAATCATGTCTGAGATCTTATACTTCTTCAAATTTTTTGTGGGTATTTTTTCCTGGGATTTTGAGGGGAGAGTAATAAGGTATGTGGATAAGATCAAAATAGAAATGTAAATTATTTCCTTACCTGTAATGTTACCTTCTCTATAAGGGTACCTGCTGCTCTGTTAGTGCAGTACTGATGTGTTTTTTGCCTTTGTCCCAAGCTTCAGAGATTCCTTTGGTGATTTTTCCCCACTTGCTTACCAACTTCCACTGCTGGCATTTTGAGGTAGTACACTCACACTTGGCTCCACGAATACTGCCACGGCTGAGGGAATATAAGACAACTAAAAAACAAGTTAGAAAACAGCAGAGCAATATCCAGGCAGGAAAAAAAATGTTTCAAAACAACGAATCAGTCATCAACTTGAAACCTTTGATCGTTTTCCTTTTCTCTTTTCATTCATTTAGGATCTCCACATAAAGAAAAGACTTTTCTGTGCTTGGAGAAATTTTAGCCAAAGTAATGGGTGCTGACAGAGTAGTGGGTACCCATTCAGAGAATATAAAATTATTTTAAGGAAATCTAATTTTAACTTTCTCCAGTATGAGTACCCATCATGCCATCACTCCAATACAGATAAGAAAGAGAAGAAAGGTGGCAGATTTGGAGAATTTCAGAAAAATCCTGTCATCTTTTCTCAAGTCTTATTAGAACTGTGAAAAAGGAAGACCCAAGGCCTTTTGTCTTAGAGACTGTAATAGATAAACAATGAGAAGGATTTCTCATTGTCCAGGAAAATAACACATAAAGTATGCTTCACTAAGAAGTAGTCAAGATTATAGTTGCTTCTCAACTAAGAGTTGTAGTCATCTTGGTCAAAGATGAAAAGAACAACCACTACTATCACTTTAATAAGTAAATGTTTTCTTGCTTGAGCATTATGGAGATGTCCAGGTGAAAGTTACAGGGTCTTACAACTCCTCTGTACTGGGGATCATCTGGACACTGTTTTTGAACTCCACAGTACACAGAAAAGAAGTATCCTGTCAAAAGAAAAAATGAATTTAGGTAAGAATCTGATGTGCTTTTCAATTTAGCTTGTCTTTCTTAAAGAACCTGTCCAGTTTTTTCATACCTGCACCTTCCCATTATCTTCTAACTAACATGTGACCCAAGGCAAGATAAGTATGAATGAATTGAAGTAGCTAACTGCAATTAGATGCTGGTATTCTAAAATCTCAAGTAATGAAGGAAAGACCAAAAGGCTCTAAAGAGGTCATTGCCTTCAAATATCAGGAATGTTCAGTATCAATTATGTGCTTTAAGGTCGAGAGAAAGAAAAAGGACTCTGGCAATTTCTTGAATGACCATCCAAAAAGAAATTGGCTTCCCAAGTAATAAGCTTCAAATTTGCCAAGGTGCATTCTAGAACAAGGTCTCCTCTTCCTTTTTTTGTACTTTGAGGATGATGAAAAATAATTACTAGCTAGTGGAATTGGAATGATGCCTTGAAGATGGTAAATTTGCATTTTCCAACATCACTCTGAAAAGATGACAAAGAGGCAGGATAGAGGGATCTCCAGATTCTAGAAGAAGAACTAATCTGATTTTGGAGTGTATTTGCCTCAGTTAGAGACAGTAGGAGCAGAGATAAAGTCATTTGGTCATCCTTTGGCAGGGACAAGTTCCTAAGCCACAAAGATGGAATTCAGGATGAAGAAACAAGTTCTTCTGGCTGGCATCAGTAATATATCTTCTGGCATTCTTGAATCTGAAGAGACAAACTGTTTTGGACCTCTTAAAATACACAACGCCATTAAAATGTTCAGATCTTCTATTACTACTGAGTTTGTAGATGCATGTTGGCTAGACATAATCCACTGTTTCCTTGAGATCATATCATTCTTCATAAACTGGAGACACACTTCTCTTCAGTCTCGCCAATTCAATTCTACAGGTTGCATCAAAGGAATAAGCTATGATAAACTGGATATTTTGTAGCTTTATCCAGAATCTGCATTTCAGAGCTACATGGCATTTATCACTGCAGATATGAAAGGGAATGAATGAGAGTCAGAACTGTAAGATCTGAGAAGGAATCATTGGTGTATACTAATAATGCAGTAGAAGAAAACTCAGAGTCCATTTTATAGAACACAGAAAGTCCTTTGGAGTCTGTTCTCCACAGCAGTAGCGGCTTTCCTGAAATTTGACCTGGTGTTCACTGAGGTGGAAGGAGTAGTAAACTCCAAACCATGAAGAAAAATTGCCAATTTTGAAATTCTTATATAAATTAATTCTATCTTGGTCATCTTCTTTATTAATTTAGTTGTAGACATCAATCTTTCACTTATTCCTGCCTTAAATTTTCCTTCATTTTGAAGAGTTGTCAGATAGGACAGGACTACCTTCATTATTCTTATTGAGAAATATGTAAGATTTACAACCATGCTCACTTTGCTCTGCAAGGGAATAATATCTAAACAATCTGATTTCAACTTGTTTAAGAGTTGTTCACTCCTCCCACTGTGTATGCTCAGAATGCTCTGTATGGCTGACTCTCCATATTGATTATTATCCTTTTCCTTCCCTATTAGAAGGCAGAAAAGCAGAGCTGTGGCAGGGCGGGGGTTTTGATATTTTCTATAATCAGTCCTAATGAATAAGGAAATACCTCAAGAAAATATGTTATTTTGGAGAATTGAAGGTATTACATTTTGAACAATTGGGGACCACTTTTGCACTCCCTCCTATCAGTTCTACAACTAAGCAGTGATGCAGAGTTTCTGAAGCCTGTGCCAAATACCCAGGGAAAAAGGCAAGAGTTCTGCCTGCAGCTATTTAGGCAGCAGATGACGTGAGGTTTCAGAACACCCCTTTCCCTCTGAGGTGTAATGTATCATTCTGACTTGCAGAAATGATACAAAGAAGCCCCTACAGACTACAAAGGAGGGTGACACAGGGAAGAAGCACTAGTTTTAGAGCATGTCAGCATGACTCACACAATACTGGCATATGAATATCATCTTTCTGTATGGTAATTCCTGATGTAGTGGAAACTGACAATTTTCCAAGAAAATTTAAAAGGACTACTAGATATTCAAAGAGCTCTTGCGCAGCTGTGAATGTCAAAGGGACTGGCAGAATGAAGCTGCAAATGAGTGGAAACGTCTTTGATTTTGGTGTCAGGACGCTGGAAAAGCAGAACTTCATGGAGAAGTGCAGAAAACCAGTCATTAACAAACAGCCTTAAGAACTCATTTTTATTTT